CCCGTCCGGGACCTGGCCGTGGCTCCCAGCTCAGAATCGAGAGAAAGCGCCGGCTGCTTGGGAAGGTCCGCGGCCCCAGGGTGGGGATGGAGGCCCGGTTACCCCCCAGACCCCACCGGAGGAAGACCCCACCGCCCGGTTAACTCAAGTCAAGGCCTGGGTGTTCGCTGGCGTCGAGCCAGACGTCCTTCCAGAACCATGTTTATTTTACACACATGCTGGCCTGTGCAGGCAAAAGTACACTGCAATATAGTTCACTTTGCTTAGGGCTGCGAATCACGCGGGTGACGGGCAGGCCTGTTTAAAAAATGTATTAAGGGCTCGAATTAGCCCAAATGTCAGCCGTGGAGGCCCCGGAACAAGGCCGGGGCTGACATTTGGAGAGTTCATTTTAATTAAAAAGCGAGGGCAGCGATTCGGGTTAAAAGTCCCTTGAAATAGGAATGTCAGTGTTAGTGTTTGTAGTTCAAGGGTTTTAAATAAACACACCGTGGTGGAATTAAAATAGTTTTAAATGGCATTTAAAAAAATTAGAGTCTTTCTTAATGAACTCAGAAAATGAGTTCCAAGTCGCTAAGCCAGGGCCTGCCGCGTCCCCACGGTTCCAAAAGTGTCACCTGCTCGCTTTTTCAAGGAAGAAACTTAGTCCAGCAGTAATTTAGGATCTTCAGATTCAGGGGCAAATCGGAGCTTCCTCTGCTGGGAGCTGCCTGGGTGTTCTTCTTTCTTATTTTTGCAGCTAAATGAAATTTTGGCTAGCTCTCTAAATTGTGGCAAAGAAATTTTCCTAAGTCACTGCAGGGTACTTTCTCCTCCCTGAAACCTAAGACCCCTTTGTTTTGATCGCCTTCATGGAAGCTTAATTGTTTGTCTTCTTTAAAACCACAAAATGGATTGTTATGCTAAGTGGGAAGGAAACTGGTTTAACCATTTCTGGGAGCTTTGTTCTTTAAGATGTCTAGGAAGATGGTAAAAGTTGAGACTTTTCAGCTCCCTAAATAGAAAATCCATTTCTTCCTATGGCGTGCATTCCTATTTTAGGAAGAGAAATACAGAGAGCCATTTTCCTTCCTTCTTATTCTCCTCCTCCTCCTCCTCTTCCTCCACCTCCTCCACAGACTACTCCCATAGTTAAGTCCCAGGAAATGATGTAATTAGCATTCTGGGGAGAAAGTTGATCTAATGCAGTGATGTATTAAACCAAACTGCTAAGAAAAATGAGCTACCTGCCTCACATGGTTTCATATGTTTTGCTAATAAAATGGTGCTAAGAGCTTCCTCGGAAGGCGCCCTGCCACTGCGTGCCTCTCTATACACACATGTTGTTACTGTGTCTCTGCAGTGTGAAACGATAATAGAAGAGTATGAAGATGAGATATTCTCACTGATCGCCCAGGAGGCACACTATCTAGCTGACAAGCTGTGCAGTGAGAAATCAGGTACTGTGTCTGATGTAACATGCGCTCAGCCCCCTCTCTCGCTCTCCCTCCCTCCCTCCCTCTCTCCTTCCCTCCCACCCCTTCTCTCTCTCTCTCTCTCTCTCTCTCTCTCTCTCTCTCTCTCACACACACACACACACACATCTTGTTTTCCAGAACAAGTCTGGCTGCCTGGCAGTGAGCCGTGGCTCACACAGGGTTCTGGGAACCGGGCTGAGTCTTCTGTCAGCATAGGGCTGACCTGTGCTCCCCCCTCTCCTCTTCCTTCCCGTGAGTTCCCATGAATTCCTCTTCCTTTGCCGCGAGTTCCGTGGTCGGAGAACCAGCCCTCTTTGGTTCCGATTTAAACGTGCAGACTTTGGATTTTCCATCCTGTCCGAGCAAGGAGTCTTTCTTTATGACTTGAATATTGACTCTACCTGTGGAAGACAGGATTTTTATTTTAGTAAGAAAACTTGTAACGTTTTTGTTTGAGGGTTATTGTGCTATATTTTTTTCAGGGTTCTTTCCCAGAGCAGCTGCATTCAAAAGAATATTTTTTCTGGATTAGAGGGTAGACTGTAATCGTACCTACTATTCTCATACACACACACACACACACACACACACACACACACACACACATGCATGCTTACAAGCTAGGGAAAATAAATAGATAATCATTATTGTATACCAAGTTCTAGTCATTATCCCTGGCCCAGCTTCAAATGGGTGAATGTAAAGTTAGGGCTAATACTTGACACATGTATAAGTTGTACATTCCTCTCAGATACCTTTGGGAAGAAAATGTTTTTATATACACTAAAAGGGATGTAGTAGTATACTGGCTTTACATCAGTATGAATCGATCAATATACTGAAACATTTGTATAGATTAATATATTGATTAAAGCCAATGTAGTAAATTTTTAGCCATGTAGAAGTTTGAGATAATTAGCGTTTAGCAGATATATTCACCAAAATCCACTTTATCAAATTTAGCTCCTAAGTCCTTAAAAATAAGTTACTGTGGGATTGTAGGTAAATTCTTAGACCAGACCGTCACATTCACACTAACAACAACTGAGGTTTTTTCACTGTCTGTGGATACTGGATTCTTTTCTATTTAAATCCACTTTCAATGGAGGAAAAATGCAATGAAATGACTTGAAGAGTGTTCGTTGTGAGGAGTTCTTTAGGTAGACACCTGTGAAAGTCAAATACATTCATGAACACTTGTTAAACGTGACCGAAAGATGGGAGAATTTTGCCTACTGCTTCTGGTCACTATCACCCCTGAAGGAAGGTTCTGGAGAAGTACAGCAAGTATCATGACTTGGCCTCTATCATTCCTTCAGCATACTTCCAATAGTAATGAAAATTGATATTAGCCACAGAAAATTCAAGCTTAGAGAAGAAGCCTGAGATGGGTGGTGTTGGTAGTTTGAACTGGAGACTGCTGGATGGTTAGGGTTTTGTGCTGTTTTTTTAACTGGGAGCTGGAGTCAGAAGCCGCCACACAGCACCAAGGGCTCTGGGGCTGCAGCACAGGGCTGAGTTCTTGCAAGTTATTCTTCACAAAACAACTATGGTGCTGCACACCGTTCAAAAGTGAAAAACTGGGAATAAATTAATTTTAGAGACTAAACTCCCCCTCAGTCCTACTATTGAAGTAACAAGGTAAACAAGGTTTGGGTTGTTTTTAGATTTAAAAATTATTGCTAGGAAAAAAAAACTGAAGCAACAGCCAATGATTAAAAAAAATCTTCTATGTGAATGACATCACAGAGCATTTCAACCTTGGTATAAAAAGTAAGATTTTAATGTCAAAGAAAACTCCAGCTGCCTTGAAACATGATCTAAAACACAGCTCAGTAAGCTTCCCACCAGAGCAGAATAGTTGTGTTCTGTTTGGAAATACAGTCCTCTGTGTACTATACACACAGCTCTGCTGTGATCTGATCTCTGCAGTTGAAATAATGTTTTAGAGATGTGACTGTGTGTGTGTGTGTGTGTGTTCTCCTGTGCCTATGTGTGTGCATGTGTGTGCTGGAGGTCATGGAACTTTACATTCGCCACCAACTATTCCTAGTGTATAATACATGCAAGGTGCCATACTGAGGTAGGGGTGCTAGGAAAACGTTCCCTTTCCAAGAAAGACATATTTAGAAGATAGATAATTCCTAGAATTAAAGATGTCATTAGAAATTTGCTTTCTATATTTAACATACAAATTGTATGTGCATGGATTTTGCTTTTTTCTATGGTTTATAGATGCATTCGCTGCATCTGTAATAGGGCAGATGAGAACACATCCAAAGCCCCAAAATTTAGTAGCCTCGCACCTTCACCCACCTACACAAAAATTAGAGGGTAGGCCGGAGACATCTACCTTATGGCAAAGTTAGGAGGATGGTGTTTGAGTCCAGAAGTGCCAGATTGGTGAGGTTTTCATGAAGACTGCGTTCTACCATCATGGATGGGCAGAAGAGACCTCAGTGAAGGCTACTGAGTTATCTGGGTGTGGAGAGGCCGCGCAGTGCTGTGTGCCGGCTGGGTGAGCTCCCCAGTGCTCTGCTCGGGGAGGAGGGAGGAGGGGAGGGCCCTCCCTGCATCTTTTTTCCCTAGGCAAAAGAAAGGGTGAATTCATGAGATTGTCCTGGTGGAATGGCTGTGGCATAGGACCCAGGCTTCTCACACTCTGTCAGTGTCTTGAAATCACAATGCTTAAAATCTTGATGTGATCTAGGATGTGGTTCAGAGTACAACTGCGCTTACTCTGTGTGGAGCATAAATGGGAGAATATTCTTTTGTTTAGAAGACTGTGTGACAGTTATAAGTAGGAATATCTAAGTATATTCTGTATTTAACTGTCACTTTTCTAATATCAGCTCTTGACATTTTAGAAACACCACAACTGCAGGATCGGCCACATACCCATTTGAATACAATAGCATACATTGTAAAGTATCAAGAAACATGTCTTCTACATTTAATATACAAACATTTTTTTACCTTTCTGTGTAGACTTTTTAACCCAAAGGGTGATATAAATGCTACCAAAAAGGTAGATATAAATTCTGCTCTATAAAACAATTACTTCCAAAGGCTAGAATATTTTAAATAAATTATGTGGCTAAAATAACCCCTAGCTTTTCTACATAGGATTTGCATTCATTGCCTTCAGTTGGAAAAATAGTAAGAATCAAAATATTTCCTTGTCTCTTTGGCTCCATGCCCTTCCTAGCTCCGTCCTCTCGGAGGTGTGTGGGGGAGGGGGCTTTAATAGCCCCTCACTGTGGGTGAGACACACACTTGGTCTTGCTCTGAAGCGCTCTGAGGCAGCACAGATCATCATGGAAGCCTGGGCAAGGTCCAGCGGATAGAAGATGCTTTTTGCTTTTGCATGGATTTGGAATATTCTGTCATCAAAGCTTTAAAATACTCCCCTCCAGTACGTTCTTCTTGTGGGAGACAAATGAATGAATGGTCTGGTATTGAGCACAATAGTGACGCTACCTATTTTTCCCCCCCAGATCTGTGTGGAACTTCTGCGAATCATACAGAGCTCTAGGAGAGGTGGCCCTGTTGTGGAAGGAGCTCACAGCCTGCATTATGTCCACAGGTCTAGTCGCTGTACTTTGTCCCCTGCATGATATTGTTTTGAAAATTTGTTGTTTGACATCATGATAAAGCCCATGATAAACTTCCCATAGGCGAAGCATAAAACTTAAATTTCCTGTGCAGATTTGGATACAAACAGCCTTGTAAACACAGCATTCAATTTGATTGTGAGAAAAAGTGAAGACATTTCAAAAGCTAAACAGATTTACTCTATATTTCATAGAGTACTCTATATTTCATACATCCCAAATGTAATATGCTATTTGGTAAGAACTTGATTGTATTTTCAAATATTTGATTGGGCACAAACTTAAGGAATGCTGTTACAACTAATTCCAAATCTGGAAGAATTTAATTTGTTATTGGTAATAAAGTAAAAAAGAACCACCCCACTTCTTATCAGGAATGAAATTTAGATTTCTAGAAAGTCTAAGTTTTAAAACTTATCTCCAAATTTTAGTGGAATGGATATAGATGCCAGCTACTTCTTGCTGTGAGCACTAGTTACATTGGTCTTCCTTGAAGTTGCATTCTGGGTGTGGATGTTTTGGAAGTTGACTGAAGACCACCAGATTGTACATTAAATTTAACAGTAGTGAACATAGCTATTGCTGCAAAGTCTCCTAGGTGACTTTTCCCCAAGATTTTATTTAGTGTGTAGATTTCACTACTAGAAGAGGGTATAAAGGGAGCTGGGATTGGTTGCCAGTGTCTTTTTGTCCACATTCAATATTGTAGGACGTATAAAGGCAGTTACCCCTGGCTATTAATTTTGCATTCGGTAGACTCTGACTTTAATTATTGCACATGTTAGGGTACAGTCTACATTTATTTTAATAAATTATCACTCTTGCCAGAAAGAAGAATTGAGTGGATAGCATGATATAATTTCTATATTTTAAAAAAAGCTAAAAACAGTTGGCTATTGTGTCACATAATTACCTAAAAATTGCACAATTAACAATTCAATTGGGTCTTTAGCAGAAAATAATTCTAAAATTTAGAAAAATTTCCAAAACTAACAAGAAGAAATTTTTATTTTCTCCCATCTATAATCATATTAAGTAATAGTCTTAAGTTAGTGTCACTTATTTATTTGGGATTTGAGAAAGAGTGTGTATTGATTTATTTAGCTGATTATTTACCTTTTGGTAGCTGGGTTAGTGTTTCATATCTTGCCTTGTGGCCAATAGAAGAGGGAAATAAGATTTAGCATAGTTTGTATTATTTTCTAGTAGCATAGTAAAAACAGGGTAGTGCTACTTAAAACACAATTCCTATGTCTTAAACTCTCTTTAAGATTAGTTTGGACCTCATGAACAGTTTCCTAACTTGACCGCTCCTGGAAAAGGTACAAGGACTTAGAGCACCAGGGTGGGGAGGGGCGGGAGGGAGGGGCCTGGCACTGGCCTGAAACACCGGTGAAGCTTGTCCGGCCACCCCCCGTACAAGTGTTTCTGCCTGTGTCTGCTCATCCTTGTCAGTAGTTGGTATAAATTCTCCAGTACAGATAGGTCTGTGGGAAGGAAGAGGATGATGGTCCAGTTCCCCCCTGAGCAGACATGGAGAGAGGCCCTCTCCTGCTGGCTGGTCACACGCCGTGGTCACGCGCTGTGGCTTCTGCTTTTGTTGGACAGAACCAGGTACCTTGGCGTTTACCATGAGCACCCAGGTTTTCGCCAAATATGGCATTCCCTATGGTGGTGGTGGTTGTTGTTTTTTCCTGGATTTTCCCAGTAAAAAGTCTTACCATGGTTTTGAAATCTCATGATTTGTATACTTTTTTCTTTTTCCAGTTCAGACTTTTTGAGCTTGTGTGAGTATGGCTTGCCGGGTGACAGATAACAACTAGGTTTGAATGGGAAAACGGAACTCTGAGCCTGCATTTCTGTGTGTGTGTGTGTGTGTGTGTGTGTGTGTGTGTGTGTCTAGCCAACAGCTGGGAACATAGGTGTATGTGCCACATGGGACCTCTGTGTGTGTGTGTGCGTGCGCACGTGTGCACGTGTGTGCAGCCCCCCCCCCGGCTCCCCTCTGGGTGCCAGGGATGTGCCCCACTCTGCTCATGAACAGCAGGGAGAGAGTGGCTGTCTCTGGCCTTCCTCCCTGCCTTTAAAATGACACTTACCGACCCAAAACAAAGACAAACAAGCTGAGGGGGAGGGGAAGAAAACCTAAACAAGCCAAAAAATAAAAAGAAAAGAGAAAGAAAGCAACACTACGAGGTGGAAGCAAAGTTATTTAAAGTTGATGAAGACCAACCTGATTCTAGTCGGTAGGTAATAAATGTATGTATGAATGTGTGAATGTATGTTTCTGGGAAGACCAGGGCGATGGCTTGTTAAAATAATGAGGAGAACTGGCTGTGGCAAGGCAATTTGGGGTTGTATTTATGTTTGTTTGGGTCTCCATGGAAGACTGGCACGAACCTGTCTCCATAACCGACAGACCAAAGCCGCTGAGACAAACAGCATCTTTGTTATGTGAACAAACCAAGAGGGGGACTCCACTCCACTGAGTGCAGGGCAGAATTGAGTCCAAGTCCTAAATGGGAAAGATCAATACTTCATTTACCAAGACAAGCCCCAGAAAGGTAGAGTCTAGGCAAGATTTTGTACACTGATTTCTCTGTGTATATTGATGTTTATTGATGCAATAGCTTTATCAAGTAAAAAAGTCTAAACTCTGTATCAAGCTCAAAATTCAGCTACTAGTGGGATATGAGTAGAAGCTTTTCTTCCCCATGTACGATTTGTAGTTTTTGTTTAAACGTAGTAGAAATTTGTGAGCTAATCTTCTATAGGTCGAAGCCCATGCAGTAGCATACACCACAGCTTGGTACCAAGATAATACTGTTGTTCGATCATCACAATAAAAATACATGTTAGATGCCAGTGAAGTTGTGTTCCTGGTTCTCTACCTATAATTTAATTCTTCTCCACAAACTTATCAAGTTCTACAGGGTGTTTGCTTTTAGAGCAGTGAAACTAAGTGGATAAAATGGTCAAATGCAATGGATGAAGCTGGAATATGGAGATAATAGAGATTATTTGCCTAGAAATTAAATCACCTAGGAAAAGAAGCAGGCAATTGTGTGTTCCTTCTGGAGTCTGCTCACTGCCTGATCTCCTGCCTGGCCCCTGGCCTGGTCCCCTGCTTCCTAAGAAGGAAGGATGCCCACGAGCTGCCTGGACCAAGGCAGGTGTCGATGGCTCATTGTCACCAGGAGACCAGAGTTTGCTTCTGCAGGGTTGGTATGAGTCTGAAGCACCAGAGGAAGTTTTCTGTCCTCTGGGTTCCCCGAGGAAGTATGAAATGGATGCACACATAGGTGGAAAGAAACCTAAAAACATAAATAAGTGCATACAGACGTAAGTAAATGAACATATGACCTAAGTAAATAAAATTGGGACATGGAGGATTCAGCCAGAGCTTTTATTGCTCTGAAGTGTAGATCTGGAAATTCTTCGTTTCAGAGCAACATCTAGAAATTTCCTACATGTTGTCTATACTCCTTATCTTGAGAATTATTTCATCTCAAGATTTTCATGAAAGTAACAAAAATACTTGAAGTGACGACCCACAGAAAATACTCGATTCCACAACAGCAAGAATTATAAAACATATTTAATGTATCAAGAAGTTATTGGAAGGCAAATAAGCTATGAGACTACAGTGGAAATACATTAGATCTTACAATAGGTGTCATTATTCCAGAACCCAGATTTTAACAGCCCCGTGTGCTCGGTTTTATCCCTGAAAACAGTAAGACAAAGGAAAAGCCTGAACAATAAAGCTTCCGATTAATTAAATAGATGGCCCTGCTCCCTGGAACCCAAAGGCTAGAGAAAACGAGTCTGAACCCATCATCAGGTCATCCACCTATCAGCAACGTGTGAGTGGGCTTTGTAACAAGCTCCTGAGGATTCTGGAACTTTCTCTCAGGCATGTTGATATGTGGTTGTCTGAGGCTCCAGACCAGAGCACTGAATACCCAGAGCCAGCTAATTAAGCATGGCTGGGACTCAGAAAGATCCTTCCAGTGCTAAGTTGAAATATTCATACATCCTCAAGGTTGATACATAGAGCCTGAACGTGCCTCTGGCGTTGTGCTAAGGTTGGGCTCACGGCAGCTTTCTGGACAGGGGGGATTTGCTCTATGGCAGATTGTCTGAACTTAGCTGGCAAAGGGTGACTGGCATCCTGAGGTGGCGCCCCTCTGAGGGAGAGAGGAGATTTCAGTCCAGTGATTTCGGTTGTCTGATGGAAATCTCCTCTTTCCCTGTTGTTCTTCATCGAGGGCCCGCCATGCCCTCTGGTTTACAGAAGAAAGCGGAACTGTGAAAAATAGACTATTCGGTGTCTATTAAAAATGAGTCTGTTAAATAGCAAGCAGTATTAAAACAGGAGGAATTGGGCTGGGAAAGTGGTAGAGCGCTTGCCTTGCATGCATGAGGCCCTGGGATCGATTCCTCAGCACCACATAAGCAGCAGAAAAAAAAAAAGCCTTAACTGGTGCTGTGGCTCAAGTGGTAGAGCGCTAGCCTTGAGCTGAAGAGCTGAGGGACAGAGCCCAGACCCAGAGTTCAACAACAACAACAAAATAATACAGAAGGAATCTGATACAAAGGCAGGCTTCATAGGTTAGCAAATTGTTTGACCTTTAGGATGAAACATACCCTTGGACAGCCTTTATATGCAAGCCACGCCCAGATTAAATATTAATGCACCAAGATTAAAGGGGACCACAGTCACTTTTTTGGCTTCTTTAAAGAAAAACAATACCCCGAAATGGTGGGCAAGAGAAGCTGATGTCATGTCCGCCGTGTAACCACAGGTGTGCTCCCTGGGTCAGCCCAGTGGCCCGGACGGAGCATGCAGTGTGGGGCTCCTCTCTTCCTGAACCCCAAGGGCCGAGGCCTGCCGGGGGCACCCACCACGGCCATGGGGAGACCTTCCTGCAGAAGAGCCGCACCCAGCCGGCGGCCTTCGCTGGAAGCATGCCCTGCGCCCTGCACCCGCTTTCCATGCGGGGAGCCAACGGGCTGGATTTTGTGTCTAAGAAATGCATCCTATTTTCCTCCCTGATGAGTGGGTCTCACACCCAGGCCCACCTCGGGTCCTCTTCCGGGCTCTCTTCTATGTACTGGTGAGCTGCCCGGATGAGGGGCGTGGCATCCAGCCGACACCACAGCATGTGGCTGGGCAGGGAGAGGGGTACCCCTGCGCTGGGCCAGCCTGCCAGCCAGCCAGCCGAGCTCTCTGGCTGCCCTGTCCTCAGCGGGCAGCCCGGGCCCTCAAGCAGGGCTATCCTTGCCCGTCAGTCCACATCCCAAAAGGACAAACGCCACGACTGGCCGGACAAAGCCTTGTCTGAGAGAAGAGCAATGAGCCGAGGAGAGCCCTTCCCATGACTCAGTGGCTTCGATCCGCTGCTCCAAAAGCCCAAGCACAGTGCTGGGGCTTCTAGGCTGAGTGCTGGTCTGGGCTAGCTGAGTGGTCACTACTCCCCAACTGGAAATAGAGGTTCCCAAAGTCACACAGGACACCGGTCAGGCCAGGAGTAGCCCACTGACCCGTGCCAGGCACGGAGGGCGGGGGGCACCAGCCTGCAAGACCCCGCGCCTGGACGCCATGGGCAGCGGCGGGCGGCTGCTGCCTGTCCCTCCCCACACAGACCGGACGTGCCACCGCCCTCAGCAGTGCACCCTGCTCCACGGCACATGGCCGCCTTTGTCCTGTCAGCCCACGCGCGTGTCCCCTCCCGAGCCCGTGCTCATGACCACTAGGAACTGAGGGGAGGCCGTGGACAACAACAGAAGACCCGAGGGGAGGTCGTGTGGCGCCGGGCACCTCCT